CCTTCAGTGGATATGGCCACTTAGTTTCTTGGCATGCAGTCTGTCAGCCATTGTCCTTTTGTGTCTTGCTTGTCTTACTTAGTGGGTTTCAAGTTTATCCTGTGCTGCCGTACATCTTACTTTCATTTATTTTTATAATAATTATACACTGATACTGCATTAGCAAGACTTTTGAAATAGATGTTTGACTATTTTTTTCTTCCTTGCTTGCATCCCTTTTTCTTCATTTTTGTGTGTCAGTGTCACATTCTCAGTCTCTTAGCTCCACACACATGTGGAGGGTCTCTCCTTGCACCATGTGGATTCTGGGAATTGAACTCACACCACTAGGCTTGGAAAGTACCTTTGCCTGCTGAACCATGTCGCCAGCTCTGAAACCACATATTTTGATATTAACAATTAAATTGAAATAGCATGCCTTGTTCTTTGTTATTGTAATAAACTGTGTTATCTTTTGCACTTGTGACTAGGCTCAAGATGTTAGGGAAGCTGATGACCACCCATGTTAGGATGGCGTGATGCAGAGGCCCATAGCTACTGAGCTCCCATGGCTGCAGCTGGGCAGGTCTGTAGGGTACCAGTGTCTACCCAGCATGTGTCCCATTAGGAGCTGGCACAGGCCTGGCAGGTTGGCAGGCTTCCTCTCCTGGCTGCTGACAAGAGCTTGGCTAAGGGTTGAAGAGAAAAACAAAGGATGTAATTGGACAGTTCTGAGGAAGAAAAGAGTGACTGTTGGGGAAACATTTGTGCCTCATTAGTAACCAAGGAAATGCAACTCAATCAAGGTGCCCCCTTTCTCTAGATCACTAAAGCTGCAAATGTTTAGGACTTAAAGTGTCTGGTGCTGACTCTGATGTTGGGTGATGGTGCCACTCATGAAGCTGTGCAGGCTGGCACAGTCATCCATTCATCAGACCTGTGAGCTGGTCAGGCATGGTATGGTGATAGTTTCAGAGGAGGTAATTCACTAATGTATGCTGTCAACGTAAAAGCTAAGCATGGTTGTTAGAACTGAAGCAACAGACAAAAACAGAAAATGCACATCTAGTGTTACTATAAAATACTCATTGAAGGCTTGGCAAATAGTTTTTTTAGTTTTGGTGTGTTCTCCCTTCTAAAACTTTCTATTTCTGGAATGATGAAGCTGTTCCCCTGGGCCACCTGGCCCTGATGCTCAGGGATGCTAGCGACCTACTGTGTGCTATGCCTCTACTCATGTGTCTGTTGTCTAGGATCTCAGAGTTCCTTGGGTAATGGGAGTGATTTTGGCTCTTGCAGGGGCACGGAGGACATCACCTCTCCACACGGCATCCCATTGGACCTGCTGGACCGGGTGATGATCATCAGGACCATGTTGTATACGCCACAGGAGATGAAGCAGGTGAACCTCAGAAGCCCCCCCTTACTCCTCTCTCTACCCACCTCTGACCTCTTAGCTAGCCTAGGCCTGGCTTTTGTCACCAGTCTGAGTGAGTCATAGCGTCGTTGTGGCTCTGAAAGATGGGTCATTCTGAGTGGACGCTCTCAGATGGGTTAGAACTCTGCTCCCTGTGCGTCTGGCCATCTACTCGTGTTGAGCTTGATGAAAAGGGGAAAGGAAACATGGACTTAATGGCCACTGGCTGCCATCAGCCTGAAGAAGGGGCAAGTATGATGTAGTTGTCTGATATGGTAATGCATACCTGCAATTCCAGCACTCAGGAGGATGAGGCAGGAGGATCACAAATTGGAGGCATAGTAAGATCCTGTCTCAAAAGGAAACAAGAGCTGGATGGTGGTGGCACACACCTTTAATCCCAGCAAAGGCAGGGGGATCTCTGTGAGCTTGGTCTAGAGTTCCAGGACAGCTGGGGTGGTTACACAGGGAAACCCTGTCTCAGAAAAAACAACAACAAAAAGGAAACAAGCAAACACCACCATTCTGGGGCTGTAGCTTGTTTGTAGAACTTTTCTGGATGCACAAAGCCCTGGTTTTGGTCTCCAGAACCATATAAACTGGGCCTGGTGAAGCTTGCCTGTAATTCCAGCACTTGAGACATGCAGATGGGAGGATCCTCCTTAGCTACATAGTGAGTTGGAGGCTAGGCTAGCCTTTAAAAAAACAAAAACCTAGACACATGAGAATCCTAAAGTTAGCTTAAACAGTTGCCTCGGGGTTATAAAGCCTTTTAGTGGCAAGGGCGGGACCAGATGCCTGGAGCATTCAAAGGGTGTGGCTCTTCCCTTGAGGACACACTCTGAACTATGTGTTCTCCTGTGGCTTGTGCAGTGTGGCCTGTCAGTGTTTCTCATTGATGGCATTCGGGTGCTCATGGTGACACACCAGCAAATCTGGCACCTGCATGACCAACTGTTACAGTTCACAGTACCACTTGTGTGCCTTACTTAGGAGGTTATCTCCATGGCCCTTGTGTCAGTCTCTTTCAGTTATGCGATAGTCTGAGATAGTCAACCTAATAAGGAAAGGCGTATTTTGGACCATGGTTTCAGTGCTTTAGTTTGTCAGTTGGCCCTGTTGCTTTGAACCTATAGCTGAATAGCGAGTCATGAAAGGAACATAGAGCAAAGGAACATATAAACAAAGGAAGATCGGAGAGGTTCTCGGTCCTGGTTCCTTCTTAAAAGGCACATTCCCAGCCGGGGGTGGGGTGGGGGGGTGGGGAGGTGAGGGTTGGGGGGTGGGGGGCGGGGGGGGGGGTGAGGGGGTGAGGGTGGGGGGTGGCGGTGGCGGCAGCGCACACCTTTAATCCCAGCACTCGGGAGGCAGAGGGAGGCGGATCTCTGTGAGTTCGAGACCAGCCTGGTCTACAGAGCGAGTTTCAGGACAGCCTCCAAAGCCACAGAGAAACCCTGTCTCCAAAAACCAAAAAAAAAAAAAAAAAAAAGGCATATTCCCAGTGGCTTGATTTCCTCCCCCTGGTCCCTGTGTCTTGAAATGGTCATTACCTAGGCATTTCTAGGTAGACCTGGGTTACATAAGAAACTAAAGAAACTAGCTGCACATGAGCCTGGGAGCCACCAGTAAGCAACACTCCTCCGTATCTCTCCTTAGTTCCCACCTCCAGATTCCCGCTCGAGGTCGTACCCTGGCTTCCCTGGATGATCTGTTAGTCTGTGAGACGTGGTAGACCTTTCCTCCCCAAGTTCCTTTGGTCAGTGTTTTTTTTTTTTTGGTTTTGGTTTTTTTTTTTTTTTTTTTTTTTTGGTTTTACGAGACAGGGTTTCTCTGTATTGTTTTGGAGGCTGTTGGTCCAGCCCGGCCACGAACTCACAGAGATCCGTCTACCTCTGCCTCCCGGGTGCTGGGATTAAAGGCGTGCGCCGACACCACCCGGCTTGGTCAGTGTTTTATCACAGATTAGAACAGTACCTTCTCCGGTAAATGGGAGACCTACCTTTGGTTTTGAGACATTGTCCCTTCGTTGAGATGGTAACAAAGAAGACTGTCTCTCCTTGCTTTGCACAACTATCATATGCATTCTGTGAGATAGGGGTAGAAACAGGGCACCAGTATCCACAGCTACCTCATAGTCAGCCTGTAGGGTCTTTGACAGCAGCTCTGTGATAACTAAGTCGGGGAGCTGGGGCCTCCTCCAGTGTAGCTCACCTGGAGCTCCAGGCGAAGCTGCTCTGGAGTCTCCCCTCATACTGGAGCTGTGACCGACAGGCCTGCTCAGGCCAGTCTCTGGTCTTCTCTCAGTGGCTGCCTGTCTGGGTCTTGCTTTGGTCTTGGTGACTTCAGGGATCCCCTCAGCCTTTTGCTGGAGTTAAGGCAGGTTTTACATAGACAAGCTCAACTTAACATGTGCCAAGTGCCACTAGTGCTGACACCCTCACAAACACCCCTGCAGGTTATTAAATGATTAAAGATCTCATTCATGAGCTGCCTGTTTCCAAGCTGCTGAGGTAGACGCTCCCATGATTGCTCTGGTCTGTTCTAGAGACAGTGAGAGCAGATATCAGTGGCATTGTGGAAGGAAGCCAAGTCACAGATCCAGCTGAGGGGAGGGCCAGCCCAGCATTACTGACTATCCTCAGCCCTCCCCTTGGCCAGCCTCTGGAGTTGGCTGCACTGGGGATGGGACCTAGGACCCTGGGCATGCTGAGAACATGCCCTGCCCTGATGTACATAATCCCCAGTCCCTCTTGTAGTTCCAGAAGATTCCTGAGCAGCCGTTTGTGCGGTTGGCCTAAGGTCTTCCTTGTCCAGCTGTTGGTCACGAGTCCTTAAGTCACACAGCTGGCTGATGGAGCAGAGCAGGGGACATCCTTTCTAGCTTTCCTTCCACAGCCCTTGAACCCATCTGCTGACTACCTTGGGTCCCTTTGCTGTTGGACCGGATAGCCTGTGTAGATGATCACTGACCCCTGAGGAGCACTGCACATATGTTTGAGGCCTCTGTAGTGTTTGGGACATGTGTGAATCAGTTAAGAGGTTCCCCCAATACTCCTTACAGCCTTATCTGAATAGAGGCAGTGGTGGTCAGTGAAGTGGCCACCTCTTAGGAATGCATGCCAGCCTGCTGCCATGAGCTCCAGGCTGCTTACAGTGACAGGCAGCTGATGACTGCTGACCCCAGCAGAGTCCTGAGTTGTCAGACTCAGCCATCTCAAGCCTCCACTCTCCTTTTCTCTCTCCGGAGCCTGGAGCTAGGACTCAGTGTCTTCCAGTTCCTGTGCCTCTACTCTGGCTGTTTTTATGGCTTTAATTTAAACAACGGCTTCTTGATATCTTGTTTACGAAGCTGCCAGAGTGAAAAATTCCTGTATTATATGAGGCTCCAAGTCCTCGAGTTATCTCGGCCCCGCAACACACAACATCATTATCCCGCTGGCCCTTATCACTCAGTGCTGCTGTGCCCGTGGGACCCCGTGCCACCGCTGCAGCATCTCACCGCCTGCTAGCCACCCCTTCAGCCTCCCAGGATACTCAGTGCAACAAGCATTAGGCTCTTGATAGATTAGATATCTCTGCGATGTTAGGAGGGCTGGTAAATCTCTTAAAGTAACTTTTTTGATTTATTTAACCATGGAATTTATCAAGCACATAAAAAATGTTCTCTTGCTTGAGTGCTCCTAGATGATAGTGCCCAAGCTGCCAGGAGATGTTGAAGCCTTGAGGGCAAAGCTAGGGGTGGCCCTAAGTTCTCTATGACAGTGGAGAGGGCTCCATTGGACATGGGGGTACCCCTGGCTGTGATGTCATCCAGGTGGACTGTGGCTAGGGCATGTTATCCCCAGAGATGCAGACCAGCAGTGCTGGTGGCCATCAGCAGGTCAGACAATGAACACAGATGAAACACTTAACCATGATTTTTTTTTCTTCAAAGATCATTAAGATCCGAGCCCAGACAGAAGGCATCAACATCAGCGAGGAGGCGCTTAACCACTTGGGGGAGATTGGCACCAAGACCACACTGAGGTATGTACGCCAGGCAGTTGGAGCCCTTCTACTGTGTCAAGGGCATTTTCCAGGCACTACGTTTAGAGTGCTAAGGATCTAGAAATGAGTTAGAACCCAGTCTTCAGCAAGCTCCAGCAGAGCTCACACCATTCTCTTCCAGTTTCCCAGTAGAGCAGGGCCTGCCCCCATCATCCTTACCCTGGGTGTACTCCAGGTATCTGGTGGCAGCAGCCCAGGGGATCAGTGTTCTCCAGGCTGTTCTGCCAGGGCTCAAAGGCAGTGACTGGAGAAGATAGACAATAGGTCTTCAGACCCTGAGCCCTCCTTGTTTCCCTTGAGTGTGCTGATCTTGTTCCTGAAATAAAGGGAGAAATTGTCACATGTTTGATTGAACGTTCAGTAACTGAGTTTTCATGTCTTGGGCTCACATGAGCTTTCAGTTGCCTTGCATGTTAACAGTCCCCCATCTAAATACTGTCTGTCCTGCCCGGGTGTGTGTGCATCAAAGTGTTAGTCTATCAACAGAGATGGAGTCACTTCCTTTGCAGATGTGAGAAGAGCACGTGACACACACACACGCACACACACACATACACACACACATATACCCCGTCTCAGTTGTGATGGGCAGTGATTCTCCTTTGCCGTCCTCACCTTGGAGTCCCTGCAGCTAGACCGCTGAAGCCAATGCCAGCAGTGCCCATGCTGCCTGCTGACTTTGGGCTCCCTTCAGTGGCCCCATGTTCACACTGTGCTGTCTGCTGTAGGTATTCGGTGCAGCTGCTGACCCCAGCCAACCTGCTGGCAAAGATCAACGGGAAGGACAGCATTGAGAAGGAGCATGTGGAGGAGATCAGCGAGCTCTTCTATGATGCCAAGTCCTCTGCCAAGATTCTGGCTGACCAGCAGGACAAGTACATGAAGTAACATTGGGCTGGGAGGTGCACCCAGAGGACAGACCTCACACCGTGGACAGGGCCTTGAGTCAAGCATGCTTTGCAGTGTTGCTGACTCCGTGGAAACATTCTTTCTAAGTTACAAACCTCCATGGCTGCTTGGAAGGAACCCCTTCCCACCTGGCTTGTTTTCTAATAAAACTGAATAGGCTATTTTGATGATACTTCTCTTTTTAGGTTTTTGTGCTTATACTGTGTGTGTGTGTGTGTGTGTGTGTGTGTGTGTGTACATGTACACCCACACAAACTTGCAGGTACCTGTGACTGGCAAAAGAAGGCATCAGAGCCCCTGGAGCTGGAGTTACTATGGGGGGCTCTAAATTCTATCCCCAGCACAAAGCAAGGTTACTTATGTATAACACATACACAGAAAGTGCAGGGCCAGTTTAGATTTGTAGTTACTGTGGCGTCAGCGCAGTTGCCAGGGCACAGCACATTGTCAGTGAGTGTTGAGAGCAGTGTTGGGATGTTATACCCCATCTTCCTCTCAGGCTCTGGGCTGTGAGATTCCCAGACATCTCTCTTCTGATGACCTGGACAGTACCAGGGTGACCGTTGAATCACTGAGAGCCACACAAGTCTACCGCCCATCTTGGCAGGTACTTTCAGTAGGACACTTAAACACTGTGACCCCCTCAGCACCTGGCCAAGGCTGCCATGTCTGGGACCTTGTTCATGTTCCCTGTCCGTGCTGGGCTCTTGAGTGAAATGGCTCTGTGCCGACCACACGTAAGGTTTGGAACAGGACTTACAGTTTTCCAGGACTGCGTGTTAGCCACGGTTTGGAAGTCTGCTTACCTGTTTAGTAAGGCATCAGTGTGAACTCATAGGTGGTTAGTTTGTACACTGGGTACCTTGTCTTGAGATAATCTTGCTATGTAAACAAGACTGATTTTGAGTTTGAGGCAATCCTCCTGCCTCTGCTTCCTGAGTGCTGGAATTATAAGTGTCACCATTCTTGGTGTAACATCATTTTGTCCTCATGAGGACATGGTGTTGAGGCCAGTCACCTGCCCAGATAGCCGCAGACAGAAGCTAGATTTGAGGTCAGCCTGGCTCATGCTTAATCTGGGAACTGTATGTCTAGACGTCATACCCCGCAGTAGCCGAGGGTCTGACCTTGAGCAGGTGAGGCTGCAGGGTAGACTGAGGTGGGTGACTGCTCATCTAAACCTTCATAGCACCTGACAGGAGAGGAGCAGTGGCAGTAGTGGCGGGTTGGGGATGTTCTTGTACAGCCACTTGGCACAGTGAGAATTAGGGTCGTGGGCTTATTCTTCCCAGCCACAGCTCCTGGATCTGGTCACTCTTCCCTCATCTGGGCAGTGATAGTGCCTGAGGAGGGGGACAGTGCTCTGATAGGAGGGAGATGGTCTGGCTAGGTGGCAAGGTTTGGTTATTTTAATTTTCCTCCCTTTTCCCCAGCCAGGCCTGTGATTATTACATTAATCTTACAGGCGAAGTTTTTATGGCCCATCCCTCGGAGACTGTGAGAAGTTTCTCCATCCATTCCCAGGCGGGCAGCAGACCCTGGTGGGGAGAAAGTATTTGTTACATCTTATCAGGCTGACACACAATCTAACAACAATTACAGCAGTCCCATTTTTCCCACTAGTTCAGCTCCAGCTTGAAAAATTGTTGTAATATCAAAGTCAGGCAGGATGGGGGCTGGTCACAGGAGGTAGCCACTGTCCCAGCTGAGCTACTTGGCGGCTGAGTAAGCCTCTGCTCTTCATCCCCGCTGCAGTGCAGGCTCCCAAGTCACCTCCAGGCAAATCCTTGTCCTTAGCTTTTGCAGACACCTCACCTCTTCGGGTTGCATCCAACCCTCGGCTGATTCAGAGAATATTCGGGTTTTAAGAAGGAACAGAACTTGCTTTCTCACACCAAAAAGTGGTGGATCAGCAAGTCTTCGTTAAAACGGAGTTGCAGGTAGAGGGTGAGAGTACACCCTGTAGACCTCTAGCTCCCTGACCCTGAACCTGCCCTGATTGGGCAGCTAGCCACTTCTGAAAAGGTCCTGCCTTTGAGGGAGGAGCCGCAGCCAAGCCGACCCTGAGGCCACAGGCACTATGTGACCAGGATTCAGAGAATTCTCAGTTCTTGGCTCTTGCTGCTAGGGGAGGTCAGAGTTTGTGAAACAGGCACAAGCTTAGGTACGGCCCTCCGCATTTGGATGCAGTCCTGGTTGGTCTCCAGTTTGCAGAAACCGGCCTTTCAGCCCCTAGAAGGGAGCTATGGTATGGCCTAGTCTCAGCCAAACAAGCCTGCTCTCCCTTGGGACCCTGAGAGATACACACTGTCCTCCCATCCTAGGTTGCAAGTGACCTGGGGATGATGCGGATGACCCGCAGCAGGGCCCGACAGTGGGAAATGCGGGCTGGCAGGGCTGGCAGTCGCCCGCTGGCCCTGTCGCCCTCCCCGTCAGTCGGCTCTGCACGGTGATTAATGGCCGGGCGAGGCGCGCGTGCGGCCGTCAGCGCGATGGATGTGGCTGTCAGGCCGAGCGTCCGCGCTGACCCCCGGCCCCGGCCCGCGCGATCAATGGGCGGCGCGCGGCGGGCGAAGGCTGGGCCGGCGCGATAAGATGGGCCGATGCGCGCCCGCCGATTGCCCGCTCCGTCACCCGCCGTCACCGGCGCCGTCACGCCGCCCGCGCGCGGGTCAGCGCCGTCAGCACGCGTGATTAATGGGGACGCGGGCGGGAGGTACGGTCCAGGGCCTTGCAAAGGCTCGCGGACCCTGAATGGCGCGGCCTGAAGCGCCCCCGAGTGGCCGCGCACGCAGCCTCTGGGTAGCAGAGGAAACCTGTGGGAGAACCAGTTGTGGAAAGAATAGAGCTGGCTTTAATTTTCAGTGAATAAAAGGAGACATACTCCCTCTCTCCTCTCTCATCCGTCCGTCCATCTATCTATGGCAGGGTCTCACCATGAAAGCTTGGCTGACCTAGAACTCTCCATGTAGACCAGGTGGCCTCCACCTCACAGAGATTCCTCCGCTGGGATTAAAGTGTGCCCCATCCACACCCCGATCCGTTTTTGAAGGGATAATTTCGTGGTAATTCTGAATTGGTGCAGAAGCTGGACCAATTGGTGCAGAAGGGGTATGCGGTGATGGTGTGTTCCACCCCGTTCCCTCTGTGCAAGCCATTTCAACATTCATAGCCCATTTCCTACTGAGCTGGAGATGGAAGAGAATAGGGAAGGAAGGTGCTGTCCATCCCAGGTCCAGCATCCTTTGCATTTCACAGTGGCAGACCTTGTTCCCTCATCCCGAGTGATGTAGGAATTCCTGTCCTTGCTAGAGTTTCAGATTTGCTTGTATTCTCTTTTAAAGCTTCATACAATAAAATCCGAAAGCCATAAGTGGGCCATTGTGAGCTCTGACAAAGGAACTCTACCTAAACCCTATGAAGGAGGTTATTCACTAGAAAATTCCATGAGCACCCTACTCCCTCTCCTCACCCACACAAAAGCAAACCAGCACTGGGCTGTTGCTAAAATCCCTTCCCTTGGGGAGAATGATGTCTACCCACTTCCTCCTAGGATCCCATCCACAAACTAAAGTCCACCAAAGACTGTGGATTTATTGGTCTTACAGAGCAAAGGGTAGGGGGTCATAAGCAGGGGTGTAGGTGACCTTAAAGCAGCCACACTGGAAATGTGCACTCAGCGGGATGGTAACCTCCCCCATCAATCCCATGGCTGATGGAACCCTCTTCCCTCTTCCCACCTACGTCCTCTAGTGCCTCTCAGAGCTCCCAAGGCCACCTTGGTAGGATTAGGGCAAGATTACGTACAACTGGTTGGGAGGGGTGGCTGATTATTCAGATGAGGGTTGCATGACCTTCCCTGGCCCCTTGGAAGAGGTAAGGCCAATAGTCAACAAGCCCATCTGTGATGATCTTTATCCAGCAGGTCCAGCCAAACTCCTGAAGATGGAGGCAGTTTTTCTTGGAGGAGTCTTGAACAACCGCTGTGTGGTGGTTTGAAAGAAAATGGCCCCCAAAGGGAGTGGCATCATTAGGAGATGTAGAGTAGGTGTGGTCTTGTTGGAGGAAGTGTGTCATTGTGGAGGCGGGCTTTGAGGGCTCATATGTGCTCAAGCCACACCCAGTGAGCCAGATCGCTTCCTGTTGCCTGCCTATCAAGATGTAGAATCCTCCAGCACCACCTCTGCCTGCACACAGCCACACTCCTAGCCACCATGTTCCCCACCTCTGAAACTGTAAGCCACCACCTCAAATGTTTTTCTTTATAAGAATTAGCATGGGGGGCTGGAGAGATGGCTCAGAGGTTAAGAGCACTGGTTGCTCTTCCAGAGGTCCTGAGTTCAATTCCCAGCAACCACATGGTGTCTCACAACCATTTAGAATGAGATCTGGTGCTCTTTTCTGGATGCAGACAGAATACTGTATATATAATAAATCCATCTTAAGAAGAAAAAAAAAGTTGTCATGGTCATGGTGTCTCTTCACAGCAACAGAAACCCTAAGACAAACTTTCTGGCCCACATGAGTGCTGTGGCTGGAAGGGCTCCTCTCTTGTTAGTTGGCTTTTTTGTTTGTTTTGTTTTTCAAGACAGGTTTTCTCTGTATCGCTTTTGGAGCCTGTCCTGGAACTTGCTTTGTAGAGCAGGCTGGCGTTGAACTCACGGAGATCCACCTGCCTCACCAAGTGTTGGGATTAAAGGTGTGCGCCACCACCACCTGGCCTGAGTTGGCTCTTTTCATTCAGAGCAGTATGCACCATCTACTTACCACGTGACTGCATGGTGGTTGGTTGGGCTCTCCCATTTCCCATTGTCTAAGTTAAAGATTTTCTTGCTGTGAAGAGACAGCAACCATGGCAACTCTTATAAAGAAAACAGTTAATTGGGATGGCTTGCTTACAGTTTTAGAGGTTTGGTACATTATGATCATGGTGGGAACCATTGTGCCCGGGAGTATGGCAGTATGCCAGCAGACATGGTGCTGGAACTGAGAGCGACATCTTGACCAGAAGACAACAGGAAGTCAACTGACAGTCACAATGGGGAAAGCTTGAGCAAAAGAGACCTCAAAGCCTGCCCCATAGTAACACACTTCCTCCAACAAGGCCATACCTGACGGTGCCACTCCCTTTGGGGGCCATTTTATTTCAACCACCACACCCATGCATATAAGAATTGGGTAAAGGTCATGCACACTTAGTTATGAAGGGATTGTCAGACCTTTCCTGATGCAGTTGTACCCTTCTTGCCCATTGTCATCCTCCCCCTCCGTGTGTGTGTGTGTGTGTGTGTGTGTGTGTGTGTGTGTACAGAGTCTCACTGTGTAGTATATGTAGCCCAGGCTGACCTGGAACTCAGTAAGACTGGTCAGCCTCTACTTCTGGAGCAATGGAATTGAAGATGTGTGCCACCACACTAGGCTCCTTGCCTACTCTAACTGTAAGGAAAAAGGGCCAGTTAAAGAAACACACCATGAGCAGAGTCAAAGAAACACACTTTGGCCCTACAACAAGAACCAAAGAAATGTACCCTGACCCTGAAAACAGCACCAAAGAAACACACTTGGTCCCTGGAATCAGAGCCAGTGAAAGAAATACACCCTGGCCCTAAAATTAGAGCCAAAAGGCTAAAAAGGACCAGAGAAAGAAACACACTTTGACCCTGAAACCGGAGCCAAATCTGACCCTAAACCTGTGCAGAAAACCAACCAATCCTTGAGCAGGAGATCTAGCCATTCTGAGCTCAGGGATTGAAATCTGACCAATCCCCACCATGGAAATCTCCGCCCCTAAGCAGCCCTATATAAACCCTTCAGCTTCCGGCTGTTTGGGCTGCCTGACTGTCCTCTGTCACTCTAGCAGAGAGCAGGCACTCTCCTGGATTCTTCCCTTCCAATAAATCTCCTGAATGAGGTTTGGGTGAGACCTTTGACTGGAGCAGAGATGACCCTGGATGGTGCAGAACAGGGCTGTAAGCGGAGCAGGGCTGTAGCACTTTTCGTTGGGGAAACCTTCCCTGGTGAAGTAAAGCTGTTACACTCCACTTTCCTGGGGACTGGAGCCCAACTGTAAACCCTCTCCTGCTGGAGCAGAGCTAATACACTAGGGAAACCTTTTCCAGAAGCAGGGCTATAAGCTGCTATGCTTACTGTGACCCGTGGTATTCCTTGGCTCCCGATTGCCACAATACCTTTCTATCTGTGCCGTAATACTCAGTATTCTTTGGCCATAATCCATCCTTGTCCATCCCATCCGAAATGCTTACACTAACCATGAGCAATAATGGAAACTATTTTTGCTTTTTGTTTCTTCTCCACAGTATCTTAAGGTATTTTTCTGATGTAGTGTACACAGACTGTCCTGGTTCCTTTATGGAGGACATGTTGTCACCCCGCTCCCCACACACATACACCACTGTAGAGACAGTAGCCAAGGCTGGCCTCAAACTCCTGATCCTCCCTTCAGCCTTGTGAACACTGGGATTACAGGTGTGCCATCAGGTCTGGCTTCCTGCCCCTCTGATGATTTGTGGGTGTTTTTATGTCTTATTGAGATGGGCTTTGAAGGATAGACAGGAGGCTGTCAGGGGGAACAGACTAGGTAGACACTGTAGAAATGCTTTATTTGGGTGTGAGTTCACTCCATAAGGCCATTTGCTGGTACAATGTAATATCAGATGAATTGATTCCAGGTTTTTGTCACAGTGACGTGGGCACTGCCAGCAATGGTGCTCTTGAGGCAGTTGAGACTAGAGCCTGGTGAATGTTGAAGCCCAGGCTGGGTTTTTGCTAACACTAGGAAGCATGCTCTTCCCCAGGGCCCAAGCCACCCCACAGAACAGAGATGCAGCTCCTTGGTCTTCCTTAGACTCTTCTGAGGCAGTCATCCAATCCAGCCAGGGCAGGCTGGGCTGAGGTAGGCAGTAGGAAGGAGAGCAGAATATAGGAATTTTATTGGGAACACAAGGAACCCTGGCTCACTATTTGTCTCATTGCAGTATAAGGGTTTACTCTTGCTCAGTCCACTGTGGTAGGGAAGTCGAGGCAGCAGAAGTTTGAAGCAGTTGCTCATACTGCATCCATAGTTGGATTGCTGCCCCTGTTCAGCTAGCTTTCTCCAGGACCCAGACGATGAGATGGTGATGTCCTCATTTAGGGTAGGCCTTCCTACCTCAACATGATAAAGAAACTCCCTCACAGGTACGTGGAGGTGAACCTCATCTAAATAATCCTTCCCAGGCAGCCCCACCGGCCCTTTTCCCTGGTGCTCCTAGGGCCTGTCATATGGGTAGACCTGGACCCTCTGTCTATGTGGTTCCAACTAGGTCCCAGCAGAGGTGCCTGGAGGACACCAGCAGCCAAGCAGAGAAAAGGAGCCTTGGATACAGGACAAGCCTGGTGTGTTAAGTCAAACTCCTGTTGTAAGGGGCTGTTGATTCCTGCAGACAGGCTGGCTCTCGCAGATGTAGCCTCAAGACAGCAAGAGGCTCAGTCCCTTCCTAGAGTGGGAGGTTTTCTAGAAGCCAACAGTTACCTGCTGCCTGGACCCCACCACCTCCAGCCATGTTCCTGTCTTAGGCTTCTGCAGCTCTGTGGCTGGCTGCCCACCTGTGTCTGAGCAGTCTCAAGCAATGATGCTGACACCAGGCTTCTGCAGTCAGGTTCATCCCTGCCCATCTAGCAGTCCTAAGGGAGAGCCTGCCTGGCTCAACACAAAAAACATGTGTTCCCAAGCCATACAGGGCAGTGAGCCTGCTGTGTACACTCTCTTAATCCTGCCCAAGAACACCCTGTCCCCTGGGTGACTAGGGAAGCACGAGTTGGGCTGATGAGGGTACGGAGCACAAGGCCTGCCACTTGCATGGGTGTGTAAACAGGAAGCTTCTGGCAGGCCCATTCCCAGGTATACTACCCAGATCACCTGTCCCCATCAGGCTCTGGCCAACACCAAGCATATACTCTGCTTTGGCTGCAAGTCTGGTGCCAGAGCAGCTACAGCCAGACCAAGCCTCCCTGTGACTAGCTATGTTCTGGACCTGGACACTTAGAGCTATAGGTGCCCACCAACTTGTGCCACCTACCTGGTTTGGGCAGCCTACCCCAGTACCATGCTTTCCAGGAGCGGGAGCACAAGGAGCAGGCAGTACTTGGCAGAGCAGCTCCTAGGAGACTGCACAGGGCCACTGGTAACCCTGCTCACCGCCAACACTCCCAAAAGTCTGCTCTCAGTGGCAGTTAACAAAGATGACGAGGCAGCTTGTAAAAAGTTGGTTTTATTCGTCACTTTTTCACTGTATCTCAGTTAAGCCATTTTGGTGTCCACAGTGACAGTCCTCTTGGAAGCCAGGTCATCCCCATTCACCCAATAATGGTGACCATCAACCACAGGCTTCTAGGCTCAGCTGATGGCAAGAGGAGCAGATGAGGCTGGGGCTCCCCAGCACAGCCCAGAGCTGGGGACGCTGCACCTGCCTGCCAGCAGCTGTGGAGCCCTAAGGTGGGTGGGAAGCCCTGCTGCTCTGTGGCAGGGGCAGAGAATGGGCAGTGGGAAGACCCTGTGGACTGGGAGGGCACCAGGCTCCTCTGCTCAGGACTGGGTCTAGACAAGGCCACATGTGATATTGTGTGAGTTCTGGGCCGTGGGCAAGGGATCTGGCCCTGCTGCTGACCTGTGTAGGGGCAAGTGATTAATTGTCCCTTGATTGCCATTTGCTGGCAAGCACAGCAGCAAGGGTCCCTAGGAGCCCTGAGTCAGGGAGGCATTTGCTACTTCCATTGAGGTGACAAGGACCCAGGTGTATCTGGCAGGCTGTGACCATATGGCTGCACATCCCCCAGGGCTCCTGCCTCCTTGTGTGAACTTGGACCCTGGTGTGTCTTAAGGTGAACTGACGATCTCTACTTGCTCTGACTTAAACCGCAGCCTTGCACCCTTGCTGCTAGGCAGCGTCTGTCTTGAGGGGACGCTCTCTTACAGGACCGAGGGACTGAGCTCCTAACCCCAGACACCTTAACTTCAGACAGGATTTTGAGCAACCTCCCTAAGAGATCTCCAAACCCTGGTGTGATTTTCCTACAGGTCCTGAGCCAGTCTACATTTGGTCCTAATGACAATAAAAAAATTCTAAAAACCGGAACAGGAAGTTCTCAGTAGGAAGACAGAGGTGGCCACCACAGGAGCTCCCTTTCTAGTGAGAACCTGGGAAGGGCCAGCATGAGGCCCTTTACAGGTGCCCAGCTATCTAGCTTGGCTAGGCTCCAGGGAAAGCCTGGAATCCCTGCCTTGCTGGCAATGGCAGGCAGGCAGGCAGGCAGATCCTGCTGCTCCTCATCTGTCTGCAAGCTCGGCTGCACCACCTACAGCACATGCAGGGTAACAGGTGGGCCAGCTTCTGGGGCACTTATTCCTCCAGTAGCAGCTCTGTCCTATGAAATCTGCTTTACAGATTGATGGCATCTCACAGAGTTCTAAGCCCGATGTCCTCACCCCGAGAGCCAATCCCCATAAGCAGATCCCCAGAAAACACATGCAGACATCTCCTAGTTTGTGCTTCCTTCATCCAGGGCCACAGACTGCCTGGGGGCAGTAGGGACCCTTGCAGCTGCCAGGGTTTAAATAAAAATTACATTGGATACTTAGCAACAATTGGTTACCACACCCTCTGGCTGTCAGCTAACAATTCATTTCTATTGTTTTTTTGCCAATGCCAGAATAAAAAGCAAAATTTCAATTGGAAATTTCCTAGCACTTTACACAATGGAATGAAAAGATATGAAATACAAAAAAAATTTAAAAATTTAAAAGTCCCTATGCCACAGTAGCATACTCCAGTGGTAAGAGCATCCTTTCTGGGCAGTTCTGGAGCCTGTGCCCTCACCCTGATCCATGGGCACATAAGGCTCAGAAGAGAAGGGCTCCCATGCTGCCCACCTCACTCTGCTCCTTGACAAAGATTTCAAAGTACTGGTAGATGATGGTGACTGCCAGCAGGATCCCGGTTCCAGATCCGATAGCACCCAGGAAATCAGCCAGGACTGAGAGGGCCCCAATGCACAGTCCACCAAAGGCTGCGGCTGTGGGGATGTACCTGCAGACAGACAGACAGTTCCGTGTTACCTGCTGAACCAGAAAACCTTATAGGCCCATCAAGCTGGCCACAATGAACTTCGGGAGTGTGACCAGCACAAGTCCAAACATGGTTGATGGCACATTAGATTTTAAACAGACTGAAAACAAGAACATAAGATACTTCATCTTGGTTCTTCTGCTACCCGAAAGCCAAAACAATCCACAGATGTGCCAAGATGGGCGAGTCACGAATATCAAGAGTCTCTGCCTGGGGTTGCTGTGTGTTTCTCCCAGGCAGTCTGAGTTATGGGCTGAAGTGAAAAGGCCTGCTGCCTCTGGCTCAGAAACTGACAGGAAACTTGCAATTCTTGCATTCCTGTGGTGGCCTCCTTCAGTAAGGTCAGCAAGCTTCATAGGAGCACTTGACTACTCTACAATGTATCTGGCTGCTCTGAGTGACTGCAGAACAGCCAACCATGGTGACAAACTGGTCGGAAAGCATCAGACATTTTTGCCTACCAAGAGGTAGCTTCAGAGCCATGATGAGGAAAGGTCTGCTCATGGTTACCTGCTGCTCCTAGAGCCCCAGTCACCTTCCTCTCTATGCAAGGTGACTGCTACATTCCTTTATCGCCATGGCTGAGCCTGGCAGTCTCTAGTCTCTAGTCTGGTCTTTTTAAACACTAACCACCCCTTCCAGGTACCTTGATTTAATCTGTGCCAGGAGCCACCCGCTCTGAGGATGGACGCCTTCAGCTTGCTCTGAGCACAGTCAGGCCCAGTCAGCCTAACCCAGCACAGCTCAGTCATCCCTACCGCATACCATTTCAACACCCTGGCTGTGTGCTTCCTTCTTGAACCCTCTTGCCCTGGACAGGGGTTGTACAGGGCTATTGTGGTTGCCACTCGTGTTCAGGCTTAGTGACCACACTTACCGGTTGAGCTCATGTACCATGGAGGTCTCTCTGTGGCCCCTCATCACCATCTGCTGCTCCTTCAGCTGCTTTGCAACCTGCGTGACCCAAATGTAAGCACATGAGGCAGATGCTGGAGTAGCTGGGTGCTTCACAGTAGAACTAAGCAATTACAGGAACCTCTACCCTCCAGCCCTAATAATCTTCATGGAGGACTTTTAACCTGCAGCAATGAACTCACTCACACAGCAGTCTATTTTTCTAGGTTTGGCCTCAGGTTTTCAGAGCCAATTGTCAATCTCCCATCTATTGCCCTCAGAGTTTCCATAAAGCCCCAGCAAAGGGGACGGTCCATCTGCAGGACAGACCACTTATATCACAAACTACTACTTATAAAGTGGTAACAAGTGGGCTACCTGAGTGGCAGCAGCTGTCTCATCTCCCTAGTAGGAATGTTGACTTAGACTTACGTCTTTGGCAGAAGAACCGGAAACTTCAATCCATGTTTTAGAAAAGAATGCACAGGATCCCAGCATGAAAACAATGTACACGACTGCATGGACAGGGTCCTCCAGCACTGAGCCAAATGATTCCGGAGGAGACAGGTAATAACACAGGCCTCCAACTGGATAAGCACGGGCTGGGCCCCCAGATGATGTGTCCTAGGAGTAAGACATAGAAGTCTCTTGTAGAAATTTGTACACTGTGTGAAGGTTTATTGTTGTGATTGATGTAATGTAATAAAGAGCTCAACAGCTAATAGGTAGACAGGAGGTATAGGACTTCCAGGCAGAGAAAGGATGAGGAGGAATCTAAGCGTTTGAAAGAGATGCAGGGGTGCTTGCTTCAGCAGTATATATACTAAATTGGAAGGAAAGAGATGCTGGGAAACATGGAGGAAGTAGGATGGGCAGTATGTGACAGAACATAGTTTAGTAAAAATGGGTTAACTTAAGTTATAAGAGCTAGTTAATAACAAGCCTAAGCTAAGGTCAAGCTTTCATAATTAATAAGTCTCCATATCATTATTTGTGAGCTGGTGGCCCAAAGGAAAGTCCAACCACAAGTCTTCTTTAACATGCCACAGCACGGAGTCAGCAAGGAGCTCCGAGCAGATGCCTTGTGGTGTCATACACATGCCCACAGGCAATCTCACTGAACTGCACTGTAAGAGGCAATTAAGCAATTTCCCCTTTGGGCAAAATATTTGGTCCTGAGTTAAGACACCCCACCACAAAACACAACTAGCTGCATCAGTACAAACAATCCTACCTCACCAGTGACACTCACCGACCAGGTGCCCAGCAGGCTAACCAGCAGGTTGCCACTGAAGCGTGCTGACAGCATTTGGGAGATGACATACAGGTTGGACACCAGAGCAGACTGCAGGATGATGGGAATGTTCGAGGTGTAGAAGAGCTTGATGGGATAGGTGTTGTACTGGCCTCTGTAACGAGCCGACTTGATTGGAAGGTCCACTCGGAAGCCCTACAGGGCAAACACAACGACATGCCCCTTTATTGTCCTGTTCTGGCTATATTCCCCAGTGTGGTTAGGGAAGTCAGGCTAGAAACAAGTCAGTTCTGCCACTGGGCCCCTAGCTGTGATGGTGTCTGAGGACACACGCCCTTTTCTTTCCCATACAAAAAGGCCTACACGGGCAGCTCCAGATCTTGTCAGTGGTTCTCAGGCAGTGATCATCAATGTGATCATCAACAGAAAAGCTAAGCTTTCCTACCGTACCACCCACCCCTCTGAAACCTTGGACACCAGAGCATCTTTCTTCTTTACTGTTGCAAACCCAGGGCCCAGGACACTGGGATAGGACAGAAGACAGAAGACTCAAACTTCTTACTGATTCAGCTGCCCTGGAAGACTGGCTTATTATTAAGAAGGCAGCTGGCTGGATTCAGCAGGAGTCACTACTGAGTTACCTAGCCTCAAAAAAGTATTCCTTGACGGGCGTTGGTGGCGCACGCCTTTAATCCCAGCACTTGGGAGGCAGAGGCAGGCGAATCTCTGTGAGTTCGAGGCCAGCCTGGTCTACAAGAGCTAGTTCCAGGACAGCCTCCAAAGCTACAGAGAAACCTTGTCTCGAAAAACCAAAAAAAAAAAAAAAAAAAAAGTATTCCTCACCACAAACAAGTCTTTCAAGTGATTTTATTCAAGTGTGTGTGTGTGTGTGTGTGTATGCACATGAGAATGCATGCATGCCACAGTGTGCAAGCGGAGATCAAAGGACAGCATACAGGAGTTGGTCCTGGGAACTGAACTCAGGTCACTAAGCTTGGCAACAATCATTTGTATATACCGAGCCATCTCACCAGTCTTGTTTGTTTTGAAACAGGATCTCAGTACATACACCAGGCTGTCCCTGAACTCTGAGTTATGTCCCACCCACCTAAATGAGCCTCCAAACCTGGCTAACTGCCACAACTTCTTTTCGTGAATATCAAAATACTGCAAAGAATGCTGGGAATGATGACATAAGCCTTTAATCTCAACATCTGGGAGGCAGAGGAAGGTGGATCTATGTGAGTTTAAGGATAGCCTGATCTACATAGTGAGTTCCAGGTTAGCTAGGGCTAGATAGACCCTGTCTCAAACAAACAAACCCCCAATACAAAAATCCTGTTAAGTATGAGGGCCAGTACAATTAAAAGAGGACAGCTAGCAGTTGAGGCGTCCTACTCAGAAACAAGGTAGAGACCAATAACCATAAACCTAGGAACTGTGAAGCAGAGGACAACGATGCTGTGCTTGACTCTGTACAAGGTAGACCTATTAGCTGCCTTTGGACATACCTGGAAATAGATGACAACAGCAAAGACGAAGATGGTGGCAATCAGGTTCATGAGGTTAGGGAGATTCTGGCGGTAGAATGCCTCTCGAAGGGCTCGGACCTTGTCTGTGCGGGTGGCCAGCAGGTGGAACAAAGCAATGATGGCACCTTCGAATTCCATCCCTGTGGGCAGAGAACACAGGCGTGGTGGAGGACAAAGAGCACCTCGCTTTGCCTCTGCTTCTTAATGACAAAACTGAGGGAAAGGGAAAGCGTTCAGAGAAGCAGACTACAGTGCTGGGCTGTTCTCTTCTGAGACGAGCTGGCTACTCTCATTTCTCAGGTCACCAGAAGTGTTGAAGGACAGCCACCAATTTAAACACATCCATGACACATTTTGCCTAGAAAAGGCCAAGTCCTGTTCTAGAATCTGGGCAGCATAAGCATTCATCCTAGTTTCTGAAGAGGGCTGTCCACAGAGGAAGAGAGTGGGGGAAGCTTGGGTTCTCAGCTCCAAACACCAATAATCCTACAAGGAGGAACATTATGAGTGTATGGCCTGAGATCAGTCTCTACCCTTCCACAGGTCATGCCTAATAGCAGGCCTGGCAACAGACAGGCTCCTGAAAGGTGAGAGGAGGAGGAAGAGGCCCCAAATATCCATAGGGCAAGGAGAGACTGCAGCAAGCCCAATGCTGTGGAGCAATCTTTGTACACTGCAAATATGTATTACTCTCATTGGCTAACAAAGAGCTGACAGATGGACAGGCAGGAGAAGGCTAGGTAGGAGAACCAAACTAAAAGGATGCTGGGAATAAGAAGGAGGGTCAAGTTAGGGAGTCACAAAGAGTCATGAGCCAGTTGTGGAAGATACAACATGGAAAGTTCATAGATGAGGTAAACAAGCCTCGGGACAGCATACAGAGTAACAGAAATAGGCTAATTTAAGTTGTAAGAGCTGGCTGGAGTCAAGCCTAATCTATTGGCCAACCATTTATAATTAACAAGTTTCTGAGTGGTTGTTTAGAACTGGCTGGGGAGACAGAAAAGTCTGCCTACATCCTAACTTTCAGCTGTGGCCTATCTCCCATTCAGCACTCAGGGATATGGGCGCTGCAGCCAGACAAGCCTCTTATTTAACAGAGAAGGTGGTCCAGGTAGACCAGGGGAAGAAGAGAGTGCTTGTGATTACACTCACGTGGCCTTTCTAAGCTCCCCACCAAGTGCTCTGCTTTTGCTCTGTTCCAGCCTGTTGGGGACAACCTCAGCCCAGGGCTCCAGCACTATTGGTTGCTTTTCTCATGTCTTTCAACTCTGTAATACCTTTTCCTGTGGCCCTTTCTTCCTTATTTTTGTCATGGTGACCCACAGCAGTGCTAGCAATGCCAGGATTAGGTTCCAGATCTTCTAATTTTTACAATTATTGTTGCATCTGCCCAATTTCTGGGAACAAGTTCATCTACACACTCAGCACCACCTCAGGGCACACCATGCACACTATTCACACTAATCCTGGTCCTAGGCTTTTGTACCACCCAGGGAAGCAGCAGCTAGCCAAAGTCACGTGTGCCCTCTGTATACTTCTGGCCCTTGTATCTTACTGATGTTATCATCCTTGGCTCCCTGGTGCAGCTCATCCCACACTGCAGCCAGGGAATCCAATCACCCTTTCAGACGACATATCCACCACGCCTGACCATGGAGACACTTCCAGTGACTTCCCAGTTTTCCACCTCAGCCCCACCTCCCACATCTTCTTCCTAACAACCAGTCCATGCTACCCCATCTTGTCTGCTCAAGGCTGCCCTGGCACTTCCCCAGCAGTGCGTACATCAGTTCTGCCACACTCCATCCAGCTCCAGAATGCAGCATCACTCTCTGCTGGTTGCTGAGCCTGGACTGACCATCCCACCCTACTCCCTTCTCTGCTATCATTTCTACTGCAGCCATCCCTGATCATGTGGTTTTTCTAAGTAGTGAACTCCAACTGCACCTTCACCTCCTGCCTCTCAACATCCAAGTCTGACAAGCCTTGCCTTTCATCGCCCTAGTCTCTTCCAATATGCCTTTGATTTCATTAGGGGACAGCTTTTGTTCATTACATGTACAGAATTATATGGCCTCTGGAGGCAGAAACTGCCTCTGCATTCAATTTCATGAAAACATGCACAAATATTTTTCATAAGACTCTTCTAAATAAATAACACATTTAGCGACAAAAGTCTCTTTCCCTAATAAGTCTTATTCTAAGGCTTCCCTCATTTTTACATATTTTGATTAGAAACATTTCCATTCCCAGTGCACTCTTAATGAATATGCCATAGCATACTAACATTTGATCGGTACCTACTATGAGACAGGCATCATGTGGTCTCACGTTTTTCTTTTTTTTTGTGGTGCTAGGTATCAAACCATGTGCAAACCTTTACCACTGAGCTACGCTGTCAGCTCTTTTGTAAGAGCATGGCCTCACTACATAGTACATACTTGATCTCAAATTCAAGCTCCTTCTGCCTCAGCCTCCGCAAGGTTGGGATTAGATGTGTCATGACCCCCTCACTACATGATGACACAGATCAGCAGTAGGGGAATGTGCTCACACCACCTACAGACCATTAATACGACAGCCAGGATCTGAACCCAAGGGCAAGCGTGATCAAATGCTTTTGTTTAATCATTCCATTTTGCTTTTTTTCCTCCCAAAATGATCCACAGTAAACTTCCAGAATACATAAAGGTAAGGATGTTCACAATTTCAGTGTCAACGAGTGACTACAACTTGATGTTCCCCTAAGACAGAGGTTAAAATACAAAGCACTTACTACATAATGCAGTTCTTACTGAGCTGAAAAGTGAGGCCAGACCCCACACACATCTAGATGTTAACCATAATGAGGCATATGAAAAAACTATACTGGGTATGCCAAAAGCATAAGCCCACATGTATTTAAAGACATAGTGAATGCACAGAAAAACCAGGAGCTTATGCCTACCACGGACAGAACCTCTGCTAAACTAAACTCCAGCATGAGCTCCCAGGGTCCTTACCTCGGCCAGTATTGACAGTGGTGGGGCTGAAAGCCTTCCACACAATGGTCTCACAGATATTGGTAGCAATGAAAAGGGAGATGCCAGAACCCAAGCCATATCCTTTCTGCAGGAGTTCATCCAAAAGTAGGACAATTAAGCCAGCAACAAAGAGCTGTGAAAGAAAAAAAAGATTAAAGAAACCCAAATAGATCACGCTACTGTTCCCAATGGACATGGCTCTCTTCTTCCTCAATAACTGGATTCTTGAGTATAAAAACAGAAAGCTAAGTGAGCCTGAGTCCTCAGTCTTCCTCTGGAGGATTAAGAAGGGCAAACCCACAGCCTCCAGCTTCTTTACGGCAGTCGAGATTTGGTATTTTGGATATTGGGGGGGTTCAGCATAACAATTACCTGAATGGTGATCAGCAGGCAGATTCCAGCACCCATCTCTGAAGGGTCCCCGTACATGCCCGTCATCACGTACACAATGGACTGACCGATAGTAATGATCATGCCAAACACTAGAAATCAAGAGAACCATGTTCTCAAAGCAGGACAGTACACAGCATAGCACAGGAAGTGGCTAAAAACACCTGAATGCCCGGAATTGAGAAGAAAAGACACAATGCTGACATTGCCTCCAAGGAGCTGGAGGAGGAATCTCAGCAGTCACTCTCAAATGGTGAGAAAGCACAGCTGCTCTCCAGCCTCACCTCTCGCTCAATGATGGAGGAGGAGCCAAAGCATGGCAATATGGTCTTAGGAAAGGCAGCTGAATCCCAAGCAAAATCAGAGATGAATGCAGCGTTGGCACCCAAGTGCACTGCAGGTCCCTGGGGTCCAGAGACCTCCAAACTGAGCCCCAAGTGGGCCACTCTAGGCTCACCACTCAGATCCAAGTCCAGAGCACAGAAGACCTTGGGATAAAACCAATCCTTCTGATTTAAGTTTATGTTTCAAAAGTCTTCTGGTCCCACTTCCTCTGACAGAGCTCCTCTGCAGACTGTTCCTTGGATCTCATTATATTTTGTTCCCAGGCACCGTGGAATTGACACACTGTATTGGTTTCCCAGCATTAGTTGGTTGTAAATAAGAGTGAGTACTTAAAATTTCAAGAGTCTGCCTAGTATAGTCCCTATTTGAAATTAAAAAAAATTGTTCAGGGGCTGTCAACATGTCTATGCTGATGAAATACTTTGCCATGCAAGCCTGATGACCCGAGTTCCACCCTCAGAAGCCACATAAGGAGAAGAGAGAGAAGCAACTCCACAAAGCTATCCTCAGACTCCTCTCTACAGACCAATGCCAGACATGCACACAAATACAATCAATCAATCAATCAATCAATCAATCAGTAAATAAAGTAAAACCAAACCAAACCAACAAACAGGGCCAGAAAAATGGCTCAGTAGGTAAGGCACTTGCTGCCAAGCTGGATGATTTGAGCCCGATGCCCAGAATCCACATGATGGAAGGAGAGAATCACACCTGCAAGTTGTTCTCTGACCTAAGCATACACATACTATGGCACACGCACATGAATAAAAAAATGTAAAAATTAAAACAAAACAGCAACAAAAAACTGCTCAGTAAGCCTGCTTAGTTAATAGACAGAAAAAGGTTTGCAAACTTTTCCTGAATAACCTATTCCAGTTCAAAGGTAGAACATTGATGGGGGTGGCTAGCTAGTTACCAGTAACACCCATCACTTGCTGTACGGCAGACACCACTATCCCACTTCCCAGATGGAAAACTGAGCCTTCAGAACGTCCACCTCACTTTCTTCACTTCACAAGCTGGTAAGAAGCTAGGACATAGAGGAGTGTCCTCTTCCCCATTAAGCCCCTCCTACACACAGGAAAAATACCCTACAAATAATGAAGCAGCAGGCACAACAGCCCTTCAGCTATGCTCAATGAGGCTCTGATGTATGAGTGCAAACTGCACAGTAAAGTCCTGTCTTTCCCTAATGCAGGTCATGGAATGCATGCAGAGGGGCAGTCAAGGAGGTCAGAGCACAGAGCATAACTGCTTTAATTCCAGAAGCTTTACAGCAAATTCCCATTTTCAACTAAGGACACTATGAACACTATGTACAATCCTTCTTACACTTTTGGGCTCCGTTGAAGAGAGCTCGGTCTTTTGGGGTGTCCCCAACTTCAATTATCTTGGCACCAGCTAAGAGCTGCATGATAAGGCCAGAGGTGACAATAGGAGAGATGCCCAGCTCCATCAAGGTACCTTGAGGGAAGGAGACAAGACACAGCCAACATTAGCTTGGGAGAACAAACATAGTTAAATACAATGAGCAACACTGGGGTACTCCTATACAAACTCATTCTGTTTGCTAGTAGCATTCAACTTACAGAACCACCTCCAAGTACCAACAATTAGAGCACAGCTTAGTGCAATCTACCCTGCCAGGCAGCATCTTATTCTGTTCAGGAATGTTATCCAAACAGACTGCTGCCTGTTAATTCAGCAACAGATTGACCCTAGCCTCATGCAGATAAGAGAGGTTGGTCTCCTCATCAATTAGTAAGAAAGGATAAGATTCAAGGCATTCCCAGAGTCTGGAAAGGGGCTTCTACAACTCTATCTGGCTATGAATAAACTCCTGCCTTCCATTATGCTAAAACCAGTCATACTTCTGATTTCCAATTTAATGTGTACTATATTTTTTAAATGAGTTAATCAACTGCAGTATCAACATATATATTCAAAATCCTCACTGCGCACATGGGTCACGGCTTACAAAACTATTTTTTAGACACACTGTAACATACAGATATGGAAAAGATTCAGCTGAGAAACAAATTATACCTTTTAAAGAATGTTATCACTAAGTATTTAAAAAGTATTCTAGCTTCTCCATGTTTTAAACAATTTTCTACAATGCAGCCTTATCTTGTTATTACAGGTTCTGTATTGCATTCAGACCTAACAGGATGCATTCATCAGCAAATGCTGCATTATTTTCTACACCAACATCCTCTATTTTCGAAGCTATGTATCTTCACGTACTTTTTGAGCTCCATAAAATCCAAGCCTGTAACCAGGCTCTTCATACCCACTGTGCAGGGAAAGGCAGAGTGAGCAGAGTCCTACCTCTGTTAGAGGCTAGAATCACTCGCATCCAATAGAAAGGGTCGGCTGAGTCTGAAGACATGATGCCAAACAGGGGAATCTGGAAATAGACAGAGAGCAGGTATCACACACATGTTCCCAGCCCATACACCCCTATCAATACCCAAGCAGGGCTTACCTGGCAGCATACTAAGAAGATGAAGAGGGTAATGGCTGTCCACAAAACTTTCTCCTTAAACTGAATCTGGAAAGGAATGAATCAAATTAAATTTATAAGTTATTCCACAGGCAAATAAACACAGATTCAAATAAGATCTCATGTCCCACTTATCAGAGGCTGGCCAAATTGTACCAAACACACTGTAACATCAAGTAGCACATACCATGTACTTTCTCTAAGATGTGATGCAAAGTCCTTTGTGGGTCTTCACCTCAGACAATCCTCCCATTGCAGATTATCTTTACGAGACAATGAGCAAACTGACCAGCAAAGTCTAATCTATCCCAAATCCTGCATCTCAAGTGATCAGAGCCCAAAGCTAAGCTCTTCATGATTCAGAGTAACAGCTGAGACTCAAGATGGATGAACACTGCAGAAGAAAGTGACTTGCCACACAGACAAGCCTCACAGCCCAGCAACCACTTCCCTACAGTACACCAGGAACAGTCTTCTGATTCTGGACTCAACTAATTAAAAAATGTGGGACCAATCAGTACGTGAATCAAGAGTAAGGCCTGTAATTATCATCGGTGAGGACAGGAAGAGCTGATATGTAACCCGCTCACTAGAACTTGGCAGCATCAGTTAATCTTCACCCTTTACTAAGTATGTAAGTGTGATGGTTAATCTTGATGGTCAACTTCACAGGATTCAGAAACATTATGGAAACAAATGTCTGGATATGAGTATGGAGGAGTTTCTGGACTGAGTTAATTGGAGTGGGAAGATCCACCTTAAACGTGGGTGGCACCAATCCATGGGCTGGAGTCCAGGACTGAATAAAAATGAGAAAGTGAGCTGAGCACCAGCATTCACCTGTCCCTGATTCCTGACTGGGGATGCAGTGTGACCAATGTGCCATAAGTTCCTAGTGTCACACCTTCCTTGCCCTGATATGAATGACCCTTGGATGGAAAGCCCAAACATAATCCTTCTTTTGTTATATTGCTTTGGTCAGGAATATTGTCACAACAATCAGAAAGGTAACAAATCAAATGAGTTAAATAGTCAACACAAAAGCTGGGCGGTGGTGGTGCACATCTTTAATCCCAGCACTCGGGAGGCAGAGGCAGGCAGATCTCTGTGAGTTCGAGGCTGGGCTGGCCCGACAGCCTCCAAAACAATACAGAGAAACCCTGTCTCGTAAAACAAACAAACAAACAAACAAACAAAAAAAACCAAACAAAAATAGTCAACACAAATCATTTTACTATCTAGCCTGATTAGAAACCTCTAGGTTCCTCCTGTTCAAGAGACCACTGTCACTATACAGTGAGAGCTCTTTAGGGTCTTCACCAGGAGCGCCAAGAAAATCCCCAACCAGGACTGACTTGGTGTGCTGGTTATCAGGTCCTCTGCTTGTAGTCACTCCCAGAAAGACACAGTATCCGACCCAAACATGTACGGGGTGAATTTGAAGCTCAAACATACAGAGACAGCTGGGGGGGAGGGGAGGCTCACATTCCTGGTCTGTCTCTCAATAACATTTGCCTTTCCCATATGCCATTTTACCACATCAAGAACCCAGCACCTAACAAGGGGGAAGCAACACCATTTTCACAGGAACCAGAAGGACAAGCTTGTAATGAATGTGGACATCTACTAGCTATTGTGGTGATGGCCACCAGACAAGGGGCTTCATGTCCATCACTAGCCACTTTCCCAGCCCATGAAGTGGATGTGTTAGAGAAAAAGTAGACATATTTTTAAAGATGATTTTAAATGAGTAAGCCTCCTCTCTTGGTCATTTAAGAGCAAAACCTCAAAAGCTTTTCATCTAAGTCTTGCATCTTCTGCCTCTGAAACAGCCCCAAACCCAACCTCATTCAGTGCCAGGATCCAACCTCTACACCCAGGCCTCTACCTCACTGTCAAGGCCATTTCTGTTCTGCACAGCCACCTTACTCATCTTCCCTGTGTTTCTTTTAGCCTTTACATTTAAAACCAACAAGACCCGCATCTAACAACCTACCATCCAAGCACAGCAATGCTTTGTCTTCACTGCGTATGCAAGCCACACACTCCTCTTGCCAGGAATCCTTCCCAAACTCTCAAGGCAACTTCTAGTCTTCTTTCAAAACCCCCATCAGACTTACTCCCTACCTGGACCACAGTTATACCTTACATACATTTCCCATATTCTGCCAGGCCAAGGTCACAGCCCTCCTGGAAGAAAGAAGGTAAAGGGTAGGGCTTGGGTGGGCTTCTTTGCATTGAGGTGGAGCAGGGGAAGTTAGCACATCAACCTATCAAAGAAAGTTAGGGTACTACAAGGCATTTGTATGAAACTATCTTAAGTAAAAAAAAAAAAATTAGGAGTAGACACTAAGTATCCATGTGAATGCCAACTACAGATGCCATATGTGAATGTATGACACAGTCTGAAAAGACAGGGACACAAAGTGGCTTCACTGTTTTCTGTAACCAACAGGCCTGGCCTTTCCTTCATTGGGCAATCTCACATTAGGAACATTAATCCTTGGTCTGAAGCTGATAGCCATGGAAATTCTGATTATTCACAAGGTGCTACATTTCCATCTCTCCTCGTTTTAATTGCACCTGCTGTCAACAACGACAGTAGACCTCATCAAGTGCATTTACCCTCAGTGCTGAAGCAGCATACATAAAAAACAACAACAACAACAACAACAAACACGTTCACATCGATTACATGACTGGTCTTTTCCTTTGGAAACTAGATACTAAATCACCTCCTAGATGAAACAAACACCCCGTGAGCTGCTCCTGCTGGAGGAAGAAGGGGGGAGGGTAACTCAATCTGGGATCCTAACTGAGGTCTTATTCAATCACTGCTCAGTCCCAGTTTTGGACCAAGCAAACCCGAGGCTCTGTTACATCTACTCGAGATGCTCCAAATGAAACAAGATGGTTTCATGAGAATTCCCACAGAACCAGGTCAGCTTTAGAAAGTTCCCGTGAGTATCCCAGCGCACACAGCTACACTCCAGAGGGGCAGTTTCCATTCGGTGTGCTGAGGCCATCTTTAATTGTATTGTAAACTTCCAGCGCCCAGTTTCTCAAGGCTTCTTTGACCACCATCTAGGGAACTTACCTTTCTCTCTGGCTTCTGAATTTCCGGCAGGATGACACAGAATGGCTTGATGACTTCCAGGAATTTGACTTTGATGGAAGAAACAGAAAGAGAAGTAGTTAGGCAGAGAGTAACCTGCGGGCACTTGGAGGCACCCGAGCACGAGTGGGAGCCGGGTTTGGGGGAGCAAGGACCCAGAGAACTCGGTCCGGGGGCGCGGGGACAAGGAGTATCGGGGCAGGCCGCGTTCCGCCGGGATCTGGCTGCACGGCCGGCAGGCGCCCAAGCAGGGAAAGAGGACGCATCCGGGTCGCGCCGGGGTGGCCCCAAAGGACTCACTCGCCATGGCGGCGGCTGATCCGACTCCACGCCCTGCTTCGGCTGCACTCCACTTCGAGTGGGGCGACGCTGCTAGCTCCTGAGCGCCTTTCCTCAGCCGAGAGACACGTCAGTGATAGCCCGGCGGCGAGCGGCGCGGCGGGGCGGGGCCGGGGATGGGCCATCGGCCGCTTCCGCTTCCTGCCACGCGCGCCCGCCGCACAGCCTGCTCCAAGACCACAACTCCCGGCATGCAGCGGTAGCGGAGGGGTTGTCGGGAAAAAGCTCTGTCCCGGCACGCCGGAACTGGGCGTGTGCAGCTGCGCAGACTCGGTCGGAAGTCAGGCCAGATTTCGGTCATGTAGTTTGTAGACGGTTCTCATTGTGGCCGGACGGGCAGATGAGGATTCGGCTTTCCGTGTCGGTGACCTTCAGTGCCAGTGGTGGCATGCCGGGACCCAGTAGGCCCCGGCTGTTGCGCGACAGAACAGCCGTGTTGAGTCCTGCATTGCGTGTCGCCCGACCCGGGTGTTGTGGGCTGCCTCTGCGGATGCTCCTGCATTTGAGGACCCGGAGCAGGCCGGGTCTGGCGGCTCAGTGTGGGCCTCGGCACTGCGCGTTCCGGGAAGGCCTCCCCGGGCTCTGTGGAACTGGAGAGATAGGGGAGATGAAGAAGCCGAGCCAAGCCTGGCTGCTCCAGCTCTCCAGGGTTAAGAATCCTGTTGGGCTGAAGCAAAGGCAGTATGAAGGGGACGGGGTGATCTGGGACACTGCGGAATTTGCTTCTTTGGAGGGGTCTCTGATTTCAGTGCCGTTTGCCAAGTCAGAAAGGGACTTCTTGCTGTGCTCCTTGAGCGCTGGGATTAGGTTCCATACAGCCACGTCCTGGCTTCACGTTTGTGGTGGCCATGTATTGAGAAACACTTTTGACAGCTAGGCCTGTGTCATTTAAGGGGCGTTTGTATTTAAGTAGCATGCGGGTTACACAAATGGTGGGTTTAGGGAACTCACTGCCCCAGTATACTGTGTTAGCACAAGGTGAAGTTTTTGTTTTGCTTTGGGTTTTAATTTTTTGTTTGTTTTTCGAGACAGGGTTTCTCTGTGTAGCTTTGTAGGCCAGGCTGGCCTCGAACTCACAGAGATCCACTTGCCTCTGCCTCCTGAGTGCTGAGACTAGGTGTGTGCCACCACAACAGCTACAATGTGAGGGTTTTGTTTTTGTTTTTGTTTTTTGTTTTTCGAGACAGGGTTTCTCTATTGTTTTGGAGGCTGTCCTGGAACTAGCTCTGTAGACCAGGCTGGCCTCGAACTCACAGAAATCTGTCTGCCTCTGCCTCTGAATGCTGGGATTAAAGGCATGCGCCACCAACGCCCGGTGTGCAGTGTTTTTGCATTTACACATTTTAAACGATTTTAAGTACTAGAAACATGCCTAGAAGAGACAATCTGAAGTTTGATTAAGTATTTCTTGGACATTTATTTATTTATTTATTGGTATTACAAGACAAGGTTTCTCTGTATTGTTTTGGAGGCTGTGGGTCCAGCCCGGCCTTGAACTCACAGAGATCCGCCTGCCTCTGCCTCCCGAGTGCTGGGATTAAAGGCGTGTGCCACCAATGCCCGGAGGAGATTTATATTTTATTGTGTGTGTATTCACCATGTGTGAGTACAGGTACCTTTAGAGGCTAGAAGAGGGTAAAATCTGATGTGGGTGTTGTGAACTGAACTAGTTCCCCTAGAAGAGCAGCAAATGATCTTAACTGCTGGGCCATCTCTCCCGTCCCTTAATATTGTATTTTAAAATGCAATAGGCATGAATCTTGAATCTTGTTAATCTTCAGTAACAGAGTCCAGACTTCAACTTGGTTTAATACTGTAAGAAGTCAGCACAAATAAAATTTGTATTTTACAAAACGAAGTTCTGGAATAAAAATGTAGCTTGATATCTCCTCCCCAACCCCCCAGCCAAAATTTTAAGCATCTTATTTATGTTCATGACAGGACAGTAGGTACAAAAATTTTGTTGAAAAGTGAAAGTAGAACTGAGAATGTAACTCTTTATTGGCAAACTGCTGTCTAATATGTGAGTCCCTGTGTTCAGTGTTCACAAAATAAATAAAGCCAAAATATAAATTATAATACCAAAAATATTTTAGTGCTACACACATATATGTTTCTTCAAAATACTATTAAAACTTATGGTTTCAGTAAAAATTTTAATTATCAATGAGAAGAAAATCTAAGAGAATATGGTAAGTTTCATACATTAAATCTTTCAAGACTAAAGACCTCCTAGAGTCTGGCCTGCTAACTTAGGCCTGCAGTTCCAGAACTCGGGCTGAGGGAAGAGTATGAACAGTTTGAGGACAGCCTGGGCTACAAGACACCTTGTCTCCAAACACACAAAAGCTCTAAACAAGAAATAGTTCCCAAAGTGTTAGGATGGTAAGGATGAGACGGGCCAGGGAGCAGTCCCTGGGGTAAAGTGTTCTCATGCAGGCCCAATGGCCCGAGTTCAGTTCCTGGAACCCACCCAAAGGTGGGCGGAGAGAATCAACCCCACGAAGTTGTCTTTGGACCTCCACATGCTCACGCCCAGACCCCCGACAATGCCCCACGAGTACTTTGTTTTTAAAGGTGCAGTTCAGTGTCTTATCTAGAAAAAAAAAAAGGTTCAGAAGTTATTATCAGAATTTTTAGCACCTTTATAAAAGTGAGCCGATTATTTTCATGAAAATGTTTTGACACACCAGTGTGGTGTGGACCCGATTTTTAATTTACATGAACAAAGGATAGTTTGAAACAGTGGAAGGCAGTATAGATTTTTTAAAAAAGGTATACTGCTTGAAAGAAGTGAAATATCAATTCTAAATGCAAAGCTTGGACTTCCCAATAGATTATATGAAAATGTGTAATGCCAACAGTAGGAAATAATATTGAGCCTTTCAGTTTCTGTTTCCTTATTGGAGGGGTGGGAAGGGATGTAGCATTGGGATAAAACCCCAGGCCTGGAGCTCACTAGACAAGTACCTTGCCCCCGAGCTGTATCTCTAGTCCTGGACTTTGTTATTTTATTTATAATTTGAGACTAGATCATTTCTCTCTTCCCTTTCCTCCTTTCAAATCTTCCCTTATATACCTTATTCCCTTTAAAATTCACAGCCTGTTTTTTCATTAATTGTTACATGTATATGTGTACATATATATTCCCAACTATAACTGCTCAATATGTGTACTGTTATTTTTGTGTGCATTTTTTCAGGGATGACTGCTTGGCATTGGATAACCGCTTTGGGAGCTATTCTCTGAGGAAGACTATTTCTCCTGCTCTCAGAATTCCTTGGTTGCCTGTAGTTCTTTGTGTAGGTTTGAGGCCTCTTGGTCTTTCTGGCATGCACTTTGGCAGTCTGTTGTTGAGCTCATGTTTAGGTGGTCATGTTAGTGAGACTTTAGTCAGTCCCTGGACTTCTTGAGTCCTGAAATTTGGCTCCCAGCCTGTGAAGACACTGGATTGAGAGGGGAAAAAAGGGTGGAGTACTGGGGTAGAGTACTGGGTTGGCACTGGTAGAGTACACAAAGTGAATAAATCTCCTTCAGGGCCTCTGTGAGCTTTCCTGTGCAGTCCGTGAGGAAGAGGACTACCCCCTGGGTAGCGACTGCCCAGTGTCTGTGAGTCACTACAGATTACCTCTTCTGGAACTCTGAAAACAGCAACATTCCTCATGGCATCTTTTTACTCAACCTTACCTATGCAGTTTGTCTGTGCTTTATGTAATTTCTTTCCTCTTCCTTGTTCTGTAATCCACAACTGGTCATTCTGATATTGATGACACATTTCCAGATTGGGCTGTTTTAAAAAAAAAACACTACTATGAATACATGCCTTTGGGTAGCCATGTTTTCATTTCTCTTGAGTTTTGCATAAGGAACAGAATTACTGAGTCTGGATGTGTAATCATTATTCCAAAAGGTCATGCATTCAGCTCAAATCTATGGTATTCTATTGGAGGATGTAAGAGAAAGAACATGGGGAAAGTCATCGAGCCCCTGAAAGCCACACTTCAGCTTTCAGATTTGTAGCTCTTCACAAATTCCTGCTCCCAACCTTGCTTCCAGCTCCATCCTCCCCTTTGCTCCATTATTCTGCCACTGGGTCTTCTAATTTGCTCCTCACCTCCCAGCCTTGCCTTGGAGCATGCGTGCCCCACTCAGCTCTTGAAGCTCAGCACAGATGTTACCACCTACACCTAGCGTCCCTTAAACCCTTAAGTTGGGGCCAGTTTTCTTATGCCATCTGCTTCTGTGGCTGATAAAACCCGAGCAAACTCATGGAGCACATTTGCTTTGTTAAAATTACTTCATGGTGGGCTGGAGAGATGGTTCAGTGGTTAAGAGCACTTACTGCTCTTATAGAGGACCCCAATTAGGTTCCCAGTGCCCTGATCAGGCAGCTCACAGCTGCCTGTAATTCCAACTCTAGGGGATCTGATGCCCACTTCTAGCCTCTGTGGGCATGTGCACAGGCAAATAATTAAAAACAAAGCTCAAAGCCAGATGTGGTAGTGCATGCTTTTTAATCTCAGCGCTTGGGCACCAGGGGCAGTCAGATCTCTTAGTTTAAGACCAGTCTATTCTATCTATGTAGTGAGTTCCAGGCTAGCCAGTGCTACACAGTAAGACCCTGTCTCAAACAATAACAAACCCCATACTTAACTTCTCCACCCACTGTCAAGGTGATCTCCAGGCCCTCATGTCCTGATCCAGATAATTGAGCTAATGTCCTTGCATTTCTGTCAGCAGAGATTGTGCCTGTGCAACTTTCATCTATGGATAAATCGAACAACCTGCTCTCTTATCACTGACTCTTAAGCTGACAGTGGGCAGTTATATCCACCGGCATCTACCGGGCTTCCAATGGCTTATGACATCTCACAGAATGTCCACCTGTACTTGTTTGACATGCCATCTGACAGCTACTGTGGCTTAAAAGGCCATGTGTGAAAGCGTTGTTCACCAGGTTGACAGTACTGGGAGGCAGTGACACCTTTAAGAGGTGGAGCCTGGTAGGTCTTTTGGGGGATATCTTTGAAGGAAATTGCGGGATCCTTGTCCTGTTTCTTGTTTCCTGGACATGAGATACGTGGGTTTTGTTTTGCTGACTAGCCTAAAGCATCTGTGTCATGGACTAGACCTCCAATACTATGGGCTGAAATAAACCCCTTCTTTTTATACGTTATTGACCTGGGGTATTATAGTGGCAAGGCTGCTAGTGACTCGGGATATTTCCTCTTGGAGATATTAACACATGTTTTTGCTTGTTAGGCTTTGTAAGTACTGTTGACTAGTTACCTCTCTGTTCTTTGGCAATAACCATCCTTCTCAATCTAGTGAAAAGTCTAAGGCAGTGGTTCTCAACATTCCTAATGCTGCAACCCTTTATTTAATACTGTTCCTCATGTGGTGACCCCAACCATAAAATTACCTCTTTGCTGTTTCATATCTGTAATTTTGCTGCTGTTATGAATTGTAATCTTATATGCAGAATATCTGATATGCAACTCCCTATGACTCACAGCTTGGGAACCACTGATCTGAGAGGTCTTGTTAGTTGGAGTTTTCTGTTCTGCCAAGTCTTGCTGCCCTTCAGTCCCAAATGAACACACCAAGGCTTGTATTAGTTAGAAACTGTTTGACCGATGGCTCAGACTTCTTATTGGCTAGCTCTCTCTTACTTATTAACCCATTTTTATTAATCTAAGTATTTTCAAATGGTCTTATCTTACCAGAGAATGCTCCAGCATGTTACTCCTTCATCAGCCACATGGTGTCTCACCACCTCTCTCTGTGTCCTCTCCCCGTCTCCTAGCCTTGCCTATACCTGGCTACTGACCAATTAGTGTTTTATTCATCAACTAATAAGAGAAACATATATACAGAAGGACATCCCCCATCAGTCTTTTTTTGGGGTGGGTTCGAGACAGGGTCTCTGTGGCTTTGGAGGCTAGCCTGGAACTCGCTCTGTAGACCAGGCTGGCCTCGAACTCACCAAGATCCGCCTGCCTCTGCCTCCTGAGTTCTGGGATTAAAGGCATGCACCACCATCGCCTGGCTCCCCATCAGTCTTGTTTCCTCTTTTGTCTCCAGTTCCTGTCTGTACTGGTTCTCTAGGTCTGCAGCCCACCTCTTAGCTTGAGTTTTCTCTTCACTGAGGATGTCTCTTCATTTTCCTGTTTCTGGGACATTGCACCCTCCTCTTTCTTGGGGAGACCCCTTTCTTGTTTTAGTCACCTCTCTCAGCAGTGTCTAAGGATGTTATGTGGGAGGAAATCTTTTCCCTAAGGTGTGGGTCTGGTGGCTATAGAGGATGTGGGTTGGAAATCACTCTTCTTAGCATTTGAAATGGTCCACCATAGAGATATGCTACAGCTGAGAAATCTGGAGCTGTTCTGATCATTGGCTCTTTGATCTTCAGTGGAACTGGGTAGGTAGAATGCAGGCCTGCTTGCCAACCATGTGGGAGCTGAGTTGGAAAAAGGCCTGATCCCATTTCTACTCTTAGACTTCACAGTGGCCTCCTGATGGGAGCCTGGTCGCCCCATCAGACTGCCCAGGTTTGTTTCTCCAGACACTGGGCTACTTGCAGATGGTATGTGGGATACCCAGGTCCATTGCCTTTTAGAAAAGCAGAGAACAGAGATCGATCTAAGATGGCGACTGTGGAACCGGAAACCACCCCTACTACTAATCCCCCACCTGCGGAAGAGGAAAAAACAGAATCTAATCAGGAGGTTGCCAACCCAGAGCACTATATCAAACACCCTCTACAGAACAGGTGGGCACTCTGGTTTTTTAAAAATGATAAAAGCAAAACTTGGCAAGCAAACCTTCGATTGATCTCTAAGTTTGATACTGTTGAAGACTTTTGGGCTTTATACAACCATATCCAGTTGTCTAGTAATTTAATGCCTGGCTGTGACTACTCACTTTTTAAGGATGGTATTGAGCCTATGTGGGAAGACGAGAAGAACAAACGGGGAGGACGATGGCTGATTACACTGAACAAACAGCAGAGACGAAGTGATCTCGATCGCTTTTGGCTAGAGACACTGCTGTGCCTTATTGGAGAATCTTTTGATGACTACAGTGATGATGTATGTGGAGCTGTTGTTAATGTTAGAGCTAAAGGCGATAAGATAGCAATATGGACGACTGAATGTGAAAACAGAGACGCAGTCACACACATAGGGAGGGTATACAAGGAAAGGTTAGGACTTCCTCCAAAGATAGTGATTGGTTATCAGTCCCACGCAGACACAGCTACGAAGAGCGGCTCCACCACTAAAAATAGGTTTGTTGTTTAAGAAGACACCTGAGTATTCTCACAGGAGACTGCATCACGCAATCGAGACTGGGAGCTGAACCAAAGCCTCGTCCAAGCAGAGTGGACTGCACTGAAGTTTGATTCCATCTAAATGTTGCTAAGATATAAGAGAAGTCTCATTCGCCTTTGTCTTGTACCTCTGTGTTCATTTCTTCCTCCCTACCCCCAATTTTTGCTAGTGTGTCCACTATCCCAATCAAAGATTTACAGTATCCGTCACCCAGAACCGCAGATGTGTTCCTGGCCCGCACTGTAACAGCTGGTTAGAATTACTATGATACACACATTTGCCTTTCCACAGTATTTGAAAAAGAACTTGCATTTCTGTTACCTTAGCAGGAAAAGACCTGATTCTGTTCCACTCCGTGCAGGAGCGTGATTTGCTGGTGAGAGTCTGAGTACAGTTTTCTAGCAACCTGGTTTCCTTTCCCAGCATTCTTCTTGCTGTCCTCTTGCTGATGGCTGCTAGAGTTTAATTTATTTGCTTCCCTCCTTGATAACATTAGTGATTCTGATTTCAGTTTTTCATTTGTTTTGTTTTTGTTTTTTCCTCATGTAACATTGGTGAAGGATCCAGGAATATGACAGAAAGGTGGAATAAACATTAAATTTGTGCATTCTTTGGTAATTTTTTGTTTTTTTTGTAACTACAAAGCTTTGCTACAAATTTATGCATTTCATTGAAATCAGTGATCTTATGTCTGTGTGACCCCTAAACATAATTGTGGACTATAAAAATGTAACACCATAATTACATTCCTACCTAGAATTAGTATGTCTGTTTTTGTGTCTTTACGCTGTACTTTAACACTTTGTATTACTTAGGGTATTTGCTTTGGTTACAAATGGCTCACGTAGAAAAGCGGTCCCATCCATATTAAGACAGTGTACAAAACTGTAAATAAAATGTGTACAGTGAGTTGTCTTTAAAAAAAAAAAAAAGAAAAGCAGAGAACAGTGTCTAGGATTAGTATATCCTGTATAACATCTGGGATAGCCTCATACCAAACACATTTTTTTGTTGCTTGCTTAAAATTCAAATTGAGTTGTGTATCCTGGTTTTGTTTTTATTTATTTTGTTTGGTGTCCTCACGTTAACCTCACCGAGCTGGAGTGTGGAGGGCTGGGTGAACTTAGTTCCCTACCATTCTGACACCAGCTAAAAAGGAAACAGTGCAACGGAAAAAAGGGGGTCTAGGATACTTATTAAATATAGAAATCACTTACAGGGGAAGATGTGAAGTAATCTGCTCTCCAAGGTACAGCCAGCAGCCAAGAGAGATTTTACTTTCTCTTTCTCCTACACATCTCTTGCCTTTCCCACATCTCACTGGCCACGCCCCCAAACGGGCATGGCCAGTATCTCGGGTATGTGAGCTCTCCCCTACAGCTACCTCCTTTTTCCTACTAGGGAGAGTCAGTTACTCAATTGAGAGAGGCATGTGGGCATCTGTGGTTAACCATTGTAATGAGTTTGACTTCCAGCCCAGATTTGGTGCATGACTACTGAAGTCTGACACAAGCCCAGCAGAAGCATGGAGGTCTTACCGTCATGGAAGGAATTACAGACCCAGCACATCCCTGCTCTGGTCTCCCCTGCACCTCTGCCCCAGAGGTGCTGATAATACACCTCACCTTTGAAGCAGTTGACAAATAGGAAGACAGAATCACTTCATGTTCATCTGCTTTCCAAGAGTTGATGTTCCTTTAACCATCATTCACCTGCCACTATCTCTTTCTCTGGCCTTGTGGGTTTTTACCTTTTTATTTTTGGAGTTCTTAGTTCAAGGGAATTTCCTGAGAGGAGCAAGGGATTGGGGGAGTGAAGTGTTAATCTAATTAGTCTTTATTAACAAAGAACTGAAAGATCAGAGAACAGGGAGCAGCCACCAGTTGCTACCTACCTCTTCAACTCCTCCATCCAAAAAAGGGCCCAGGTTTATGGCCATAGCACCCTGAACGCGCCCGATCTCATCTGATCTCGGAAAAAGGGCCCAGATCCTCTCTCTACCCCAACTTACTACTTCCTGTCTCAACTCTCTACAGTTCTCCAAACCCTTATGGTTAGCTAGTGGCTAGCTCTGCCCTCTAACTCCAAGCAAACTTTATTTTTGTCAGAACTCAATCAAAATATCACACAACGGACCTTATAGACCCAGCATTCTGCTTTTGGTCTCCCCCATACCCCTGCTCCTGAGGCACTGATAGTACACCCCATCCTTGCAAGCAGTTGACAAATAGGAAGGTAGAATCACTTCTGATACAAGACATGAAAATGTGCAAATTGTTGATCAATGACATTTTTTCAAAGTCCACACAGATCAAGTGAAAGAACATGGCAGTCCTATAAGCCAACTGGCCTCTCCAAGGCTAGCCACCAATGGCCTTCTTGAAGAGCTCTTACAAGGACAAGATAGTGTGTGTTTTAGGATTTCCAGGAAATGACATCTGTGATGACTACCCAGCTCTGTTCTTGCTGTAGCACAAAAAAGCCACAGACAACAGCAAATGAGTGGCCATGACTGTGTTGCAAGAAATCTTTATTTACAAAGAAAGGGAGGAGCAGGGTTGAGTCTACAGGACTGCAGCATTAGCTCCTTTCTGTATCCAGTTCCCCCACCAAGCCACTGTGAGTTGCAGAGGCTCCACTCTGGGAAGGCTTTGCCTCAGATACAGTACACTAATATTGGGATGTCCTTCACTGTTGTTCTAACTTGTTCATAGAGTGAGGTTCCACTCCAAGAAAGATAAGCTGAGCAGTTTACCACTGCCCCATGATTTGTCATGAATCAGGGCATCAATGATATACATGGATAATTATCTCTGACCCAAAATTTTCACCTAGGTGGAGACAGACCATAAATTGATAGCAACCCATGTATCTTCTCAAAGGAGCTTATTTGACTACTGAAGTTTGTGGAAATTCAACCCTAAGGGCACATTCACCTTGGCTATGGTGGTAACAAGAAAAGAGGAGACCAAGGGTAAACACATCCAGCTCTCAAGCTGAAGAGAACCAGATAGGGATAGAGAGGAAGGTTTTTCATTGGGTCAGAAGAAAACCCACAATTGACCCACATGTAGCTGAATGAGATGGTTGTATCTAGGTGAAATTGTTAAGACCCAGTGCTTGCTAATTAATGTCTCCTGTTGCTGATGCAGTTGGTTGCTAGCCACAGGGTCTGCTTTCTTCTCCTCCTCCTCCTCCCTCCTCCCCCCCCCCTTTGAGACAGGGACTTACTATGTAGATCAGGCTGGTCTCACAAAGATGCCTGCCTCTGCCTTCTGTGTGCTAGGATTATAAGTGTGTGCCACTATGCCTGACTTCTTTCTTTCTCTTTTGGAGACAGGATCTCATGAATCTCAGGATGGCTGCAAAACTAGCTATGTAGCTGAAAATGACCTTAAATTTCTGAGGTCTCCTGCCTCTATCTCCCAAGTGTTAGGATTACAAGTGTGTGCTAGCTACCACATATGATACTGGGGTTGAACATAGGACTCTGTGTATTCTTGGCAAGTACTCTACCAAGTGAAGCTCATCCCCACCCCAAATAGATTTTTTAAAGATATTTTTATTTTATATGTATGAATGTGCTGTCTGCATGTGCATGTATGTATGAACACCACAGGTGTGCAATACCTGAGGAGGCCAGAACAGGACTCAGATCACCTGGAGCTGAAGTTATAGATGGTTGTGAGCCTTTATGAGGGTGCTGGGAACCGAATTCAGGTCTTCTGTAAGATCAGCCAGTGCTCTTAACTGCTGAGCCCTCTCTTGTTGTTGGGTATTTGATTGCACAGTGACACTCCGAGACTGTTAATAAAGCTTAACTTTAAATTGGGGTGGAGTTAGTGATTGGCTGACCAGAATTAGCCATGGAGGTTTTGAAGGACCAAGGATACATATGGAGAGACAAAGGAAGTAGTAGGCAGGGCCCTTTTGGATAGGGAAAGGAGAGAAAGAGGAGGTCACTGGTTGCTGCTTCTCTGACCAACCAAGTTTTTATTCCAATATACAACTCCTAGGTTTTTTATTAATAATAAAAATTTAAACTCTTCAATCTCTAGCACATCTTTCTATTTTTTAGATTTATTATTTTATGTGTGTGAGTGTTTTGCTTGCATGTGTGTCTGTTTGTCACATATGTGCCTGGGGCCTGAGGAAGTCAGAAGAGGGCATCAGATCCCCTGGAACTGAAGTTACAGATGGTTGTAAGCCACTGTGTGGATGTTGGAACATGCCCCCCTTATCCAATTGCATCTTCACTAGTTTTCTGTCCTTTACTGCCTAAGCTTGGTTGTCCTTAAACTGTATTTGTAGTCCAGGCTGCCTCAAACTCAGAGATCTGCCGGCCTCTGCCTTCTGAGTGCATGAAGTAAAGGCATACACCACTACAACTGGCTCTAAGCTTTTTCTTTAGTTCCTTTGCACAAGTTGGAAACTTAGCTGTGTGGGATCTTGCCCTGAGGCCACCACCCCCTTTATTCCATTTCTTAATCTGTTTATTCCCTTGATCACTTCTTGGCGCTCCTTTCTACCTCAAATTGTAATTTTCTTGGTCTTTTTCACTATAAATTTGTGTAAGAGTGACTAGTAACAACCACACATCAGAGTCTATACTAGTCTGTTTCTAGATTTTCTCTGCAATGGAATTAATTCAACACTCTTAACTTTAGCCTCAAGCAAACTCTTCAGACAAGGACAAAAAAGCAGCTACTGCCTTCACCAAAGTATCATGAGAATGAGCTCTAGGCAACATATTAAAATTATTTTCCTCAAAAATAATCCTGCCTCCCGCCAGTTCAAATCACACTTAACACCACTGCCTCCCATGCTCCCACTGGTGTAGCCCATTAAGCAGCACTTAAAGCATTCAACTGCTTATCTAATCCACAGTCCCAAGGTCCATATTCCTTCAAACAAAAGCATGGTCAGGTCTACCATGGCAAAACCTCAGTCCCTGGTACCAACTTCTGTCTTAGGCTTTCTATTAGCGACTCTTATAAAGGAAAGACATTTAACTGGAGTGGCTTACATTTTAAGGGTTAGTTCATTATCATCATGAAGTGACATGGTGGTTTGCAGGCAGATACAGTGCTGGAACTGAGAGTTCTACATCTTGATATAGGCAACAGAAAGTGGTCTGGCTCACTGGGTGCAGCTTGGGCCCACCTCCACAGTGACACACTTCCTGTAACAAGGTCACACCTCTTAATAGTACCACTCCCTTTGGGAGCCATTCTCTTTCAAAACACCACAAAGGGTGCCCTGCTGCGGTCACCATGTGGCAGCTGGGGAGTGAGAAAAGAAAGCAGGCAGGATCCCAATATCCCCCTAGAGGGCATGCCCGCATAACCTTATTCCCCTCCTAGTCTTTAGGGACCTAATGTGTTCATCATCTCCCGAAAGCACTTGGGCTTGTGAAAGTTTTTAACACATAGTTCTTTGGGGGGCATTTACTAATCCAAACACAGAGTCACAGTGTCACATTATTTTGGTGTCAAATGTCTTCCTGGCCACAGCGATAAGTGCTAGATGTCATTCTTCTTTATGGGTGGCAGGACTTGGCTCTGACTAGCATTTGACTGTGATTTTGACCAGCGGGCTAGAGTGGCCTCTTCTTCTGGGCCTCTTTAGTCATACACCAAAGGCTCAACTCTTCTGCAGCTTCTGAGGCTCTCAGATGATCCACAGGACTGTCCTGGGGTTCACACATGGCTTCCCAGCAGCTCTTGGCCAGTTTGGTGTAATCTCATTTGGGCACACAGAGCTCAGCTTTTGGAGAGAAACCCTGGCAGACTGTGCATAGAATCAGGGAGCACTCTGTGTGACTATCTCCCTTTCTGTGCTGGCAAGTTCTAACTCTTGTCTTCCACAGATGATAGTGCCCCCCCCCTTCTTCATTGTGTTCTGCCTGGATCCCTAGTGCATTGCGGCAGGGAAGACCACCTCATTTATTCCTGTGGTTGTGGTGTGGATGTGGCTTGGCCACTCCCAAGTTTGCAGTGGAGTTTAGTTCCTATTAAGAGATATTACAAGGGTGGACACATTCTGACTGTGATTTTTAGAAGTGGATTCCTTGGGAGGTAACTGGGCTTAAGCCATCATGATAAACCCTGTGATAGAATTCTGGTGTCTTTATGAGAAGAGAAGGCCCCAAAACAGAGCCACACACACCCCCTTTCTCTCGCCATGCAAAACCTTACATGGTCTGGATTCTGACTGTAAGAACTATGTGTAGCACTGGGTAAGGCATTCAGCCTCCAAGAGCCA